CAAGCAAGCTCTAGCATAGAACTGGCAGGAGCAGCGGAAGAGCTAGACGATGCTGGAGACGCATTATGTCGAGGTACCGCCATGGCAGCGGGAGCATGCAGCATGCTGGATGGACGAGTGGTGTTGCGTGTTCCGCAGCCCCTTTTTAGTTTCGCAGGTTGCTTTTCTACAGTATTGCTCTCCTACCCAGACAGAAGCAGTGCGAGGTTGAGAGTGTTTTGAACTCATACGACTTGACTACACCCTCTGGAAGGAGATCCGTTTTTGTCATCGAATGAAGCGCTTGCCTTGTTCACAAACGCACTTGGTGCATGAGGTACCGCCCAGCAGGAGCGATTTTCAGGCGGGCATGCTCTCGTCGATCTACTTGAAGGATAGTGACAAGCCATGGCAGGCTGTGCCACAAGTGTGCGACACCCGCCAGGCAGAAGCCGGCTTCACCGCCGGTTCATTCACAAGCGCTGCCAGCCTCGACCTGCGCTCGTGGAAAAAAGTGGCAATCCAGAGCGGGAAAGGTTGCGATCCGCTTTGAGGATTTTGGACAGCATGACTGTGGATTGGGGATGATTCGGGATCATTGGTGGCTGCGCTTGCACGGCCTCCAAAGAACTTTAGCAGGATAGCTAGCAAAGCCGGCACTCGCACAGCAGCGACCATCGAACCACGGAGCGTCCAGCAGATTCACCTTTACGTTCTCATCACTAGGTCTGTGTCGTCCCGTGACAAGCGCCAGTGTAAATCGGTCCCAACACTCTGTCCGTAGTGTCCAGCTTGGTTATGTCCTGTGATTCACTAGCACTGTGCATTAGCGGCAGCGGTAATCGTCCACCCCCACCCTTTCCGAAGCAATGCAGTCGTGGAGGTTGTCCAAATTGGATTCGTGACGTATGCAGTCTGATTATCGAAGTATTCCAGTATTCCGCGATGTTTCGGCTTTGCCCTGGTGAGTGAACAACATCTAGAGTGAGACAGACACAGGTGTCCATGTCAGTGCCCAAACGAGGATCGGTTAAAGTTCCCCAGGCGGCCTCCAGGTGTTTTTCTTGTAGCTTGCATCGAACTTGGCAGCTTTTCAGGAAAAATCTTTCCGTGATGTTCTACAGCTTGCAGCAAACATCCATCGATCCCACCCGAAGACGTCCAGCCGTAATGATCTGGCTAGCTGCATGGGGCCATGGTTTTAACTCTGCTCTTGATGCATCAAGGGTGTGACGCGTGGTGCCGGGGCCCTCGGCCAGCGTTTTCCATGCGTCGTTGGCCCCAAATTTTGGTCGCTGGACTTCCATCTCCCGGTGGGTCTAAGAACCCGAGATGTTTGGAGTTCGGGAGCAGAGAATGTGGCGAATGAGTGGGCTTGGGGTTGCTGAGCCTCTGAGATCCGGGGTTCAGATCTCTACGGAACTTGGCTGAGTCCCACAACTTGCATGCACCTCCTCAGATAAAGGATTGGAGTCAGTCGACAAATGCTACGATTCTTTGTGAGATCAAGAAATCTAGCAGGAACGGAGAACTGGGAAAACGTCGGTGAGCTTCATGGTCTGCCAGCCTTCGCGTCCTACTGCCCAGTTGTGATCAGTCTTATCCTGAGGCCGGCATGTCGCATGATGTACGCAAAGCCGGTGGCCGAATGAAGGGTTCGGGGTTCGGGATGTGGGACAGCGGGCTGCCGTAAGTTAGGGCTGAAGATCTTGGGACGTTGAGAGTCTTGCCCTCTGAGAGCTCTTTTTTCATTCGTCGTCTCGATCCCGGAAGGTGCTGGTTGTGTGGGAAACTTGACAGAACGAGCAGGATTCCAGCTGAGTAGCGCAAGCATGAGTAGCGCAACATCGGCCATCCAGCTCGGCCCAGGGTGAGAACAGATCCGAAGAGCCTGCCGGAGATGATTCTGGCGCTCTTTCGATGTTTCAAGACCGGCTTGGGCAAGCATGTGGAAACAGGGCTTCGGTTCGGAAGGCTTCATTGTGTTCCCTGACCCGACGCCCCAAACTCCCGAGCCTGCAGTTCCAGCTATGGCCAGCTGTGCTTGGTGCAAAAGGCGGATATGGCTGTTTCGGGTTGGGTTTTAGGGTGTAGGGATGTTTAGGGTTTAGGGGCCGAGAAGAATCCTGTAGCCACTAGCCTGCTCCAGGATCACTACACCACGCAGCTCGATCCCAATTGCATTCCTCCCAAGCAGCGAGCGGAGGCCTTTTTTTGCGGCGTCCGTGTTGTAATGCTTGGAGCTCTTATATCAGCTTCCACTGTTACTACAATTGCTACTACGATTTGATGGGAGTTATTGCTAGTCGCAAGAATTCGCAATATTATTGTTACCACTGTTTCTTGGTGTTATTTGTCTTTCTCATTCTTCTCCTCTAATTTGGAGGGTTTCCGAAAATAGGGCACCCTAAATAGTAGGCTCCTTTTTACAAGGACCCCAAAACAAGGGACCCCAATTTTAAGGAAAGTCCCATTTCTTGCAGGCGGATCAGCTGGCCCGTCAGATCCACGAAAGCCAGTGGCAAACTCGTCCGAGGCGTGCTCGGGTTCCGAGAGTCATCCGAGGATCAGAAGACACAATAGTCTAGTATAGCATACTATATTATGTTGCATTATAATATATATAGTACATCATAGCATTATACAAGTAGTACTATAGTGTACATTCTGTAGTCTAGTATTATGGCATAGTATTTGCTTCTAGGTTTGAGGATTTGCTCGGGTCGCAAGATTCAGGGTTCACAGAGTCACGAGGTCTCCGTGTAGCTAGGCAGGATTGATGGTTCAGTGTCGGAAGTTCCAAACTGCTCGAGTGGCAGGGCGCACCGAGCTCCACCTGGTGGGCTCAGGAACTCTTGAAAGGTTTGAGAGGGTTTAGGCTTAGGGTCGTGGTCTGCAGCTGTAACACGGAGTCAGGCTCTTGAGTTCGAGGCGCACTCATCGGGTTCTGATGGACCAAGCAGGCCCCTGCCAAACCCATCTTGGAAGCCTTGAGGAACCGAAATTTTTAGGCAACGAGACTGAAGCCATCGCACGTTGGGGCTGCCTCGGCAGGGATCCCACGCAGCCGTCCCCGCCAGGCGGGGTCTGGGTTTCGAGTGAGGCCTCCGTTCCTTCTTGGGGGGTTTGGGGGGCGTTTTGGGTCTGAAGGTGCCGTGGAGGGTGAGTGGTGGTGCTTCGAAGTTTACATAGGTCTTTGGATGTGTCAAGGCGCAGTACACCTTCCAGCACCGGCGCAGCTCACAGGAAGCAACGAGTCTTGAAATCTTGGCTTCATGCCTCAGGGGCCTCCGACCTGGGTTGGGGACTTGGGGTTCCATTTCGGGCGGGAAGCTTAGGGGCGCTGCCCCACTGGGGTCCCCAAGCTTGAACTCAGCCTGCCGAAGCCGAAAGTCGGATTCTGAGAACTCGGACACCCAACGTCCAGGCGCTCTGCAGCATCATGAAGTGCAGCAGGCATGATCCCAGCGCGGCGGTTTCAAGATTTCGTGGGTCACGCAGCAGAGGCTTACAGGTAAGGCTTTGGGACTTTCCGGACCTGAAAATGCCTGCCATCATCTGGGAAAATCCCAGCGTCAGTGCACAAGACACCCTTCCGCGGCTCGCCCGACGGCTTCTGGCCCCCCCATTTTCCCAGAACTTCCCCGCACCTTAGCGGAGGTGGGGCTGTCCGGCACTCAGCGGCGAAGATGCCTGCCGACCCCCCTTCCTCTGCTCCCCTCGGCTCCCAAGTCCCAGGATTCCTGGATCCGCAGACCGCCCAGGTGCAGGGACAGGCTCTGCAGAAGGGACTTGGAGGTAGGGGCTAACGGCATTTGCGAGTGAAGGCTCCATCCGTTTCGGCCTTAGAGAGCAGCTAGTTCCAGCTTGGCTTCCTTGCAAAAATGCGGGAAGGTTTTGTTGGGTCAACATGGCATGAAGGACACAAGCCCGTACGCAACAAGTCGCCTGGAATTTGGAAGCCGACCCTATACCTTGATGGACAGCAACTCTGAGTGGGCTCATTATAAGTATACTACACTCTACCTCCAAAACCTATTCTAGACCATCCGTCCTCAGTACTACTCCGAGGGAAGCTGTAAAGTGAGGCAACAATGACGCGCCGAACTCTGAGCCTCCAACCCTCCGAAGAAGAGAGCGGACACAGAGCCCTGAACTCTCTGCCTACCCACAACGTGCAACTGTATCAGGTGCTGCGAGCAGGGCACCCTTACCCGCCATGCCGAAGACGACCAAGATGGCCAGCGATTTCTGCAAGTCTGCTCAGTCTTTGCGTCTCCTCCGTCTTCCGGGGGGGACATCCTGCCTTCGAGCAGAGACCGTTGGGAGCTAACTGCAAATTGTGTCAATGCAGAAGCCGGCCAGTCTGCCAACATCGGGCGCGGGCTGAATGCAATGAACCTGGAGCTGCCGTTGCACCCGGGACCAGAATTCAGAGGGGTAAGGGGGGCCTTGCTGTGCACAGAACTGCGGCCTTCAGGCTGCTTGGATACATCGGCTTTGGACTTCTGGTTTTTCAATCTTCAGTTTTTCGACAGTGGGTCGCTGATAGGCAGATCCGGAGGATGTGAAGCTGACTCAAGCTTTGGTTAGTTGCCGTTTGCTGTGTCTCGACAGCCACTTTGTGATGGCGTCGATGTGTCGTGTCCATTGCGCTTTTGTTGGATGCTGCTTATTGGTGAAACTTGTGGCTGGTGCACTTCTTGGGTCGGGTCGCAGTATTGCGGTTGGGTGCGGCGTATTGGTACGGGTGAAATCGCACACATGCACAGACTGCTAGCACGTCAGTCGCAGCGAGAAACAGATACACAACATCCATGCATGCCGGTCGGTACCTTTGACAGGAATACGGATTCCATAACACTGAACTAAGCCTTGCGGCTGTTGAACAGAGTCTCGATTAGCAGCCAGATACATAGCTCGACGGTGTTTCATCCGCAGCTTCTTCTTTTCTTGCGCATCCTGACTGAAGGCCTCCAAAAACCGGAGAAAATTTCCCTGCTACAAGGTCGGTGCAGGACCGGCCTGCTCCTGATGGCCAGGCCGGCAAAGCTCATCCCCTTTTTGTGCTGGAGACGGTCCTGAAGGGAGGGAGTCGTAGCTTCGGTCCTTGAGCTTTCTGCCTCTTTGTTCTTGGCTTGGACCTCTTGGTGGCGATGGCACAGGGCTCTCAAGCTTAAAGGGCTCGGCGTCTGAAGCTTACGACTCAAATTTTGAAGCGTTGTCGGCCTTTGGCTTTCAGTTTCTATCCTTTAGGGAAGGAGGCTACCGTCCGACAGTTTCAGAGAGAACCCCATGCTCTTCTGAGCTGTATGCCCTAAGCCCCAGTCACTAGTCCATAAACCTAGAAGCCATGCCAAAAGAAGGTGACCTCGCAGCTGGCCCATCAGCTGAAGGCCGAGAACTTGCGGTGGTGGTGACGGGTTTGGGTTTACAATAGAGTGTGGGGTTTAGTAAGGGGGGGGGGGTGTGAGAATTTGAGGTGCATCAGGCACGCTTCTAGCACCCCAGCTGTCAAATCGTGCGCATGAAGCTGATGATGACCTTCTGCCTCTTCAGAGGGTTTCTGTTTAGAACCCAGCTCGGGGAAAGAGGTTTCACTTCCCCAGTTGGGCGGTCAAGCTATTCCTGCGAGCATAGCAAAGTGCGGAATGATTAGTGATTATTGAATTTGCACTGTCGTGACTAGCTATTTGCTACTGTTGTCATTATAAGTATCACAACGAGGACCATCGATCATTGTCAGCATTGTTGTCATAACTAGTCTAACCAGCAAGCAGTACAGGGTAGGGTGGGGAGACGCAAATTTGTAGCCGGTCTCTGCAGCACCGGATGCTAAGACTCTGATTGGCTTCCTTCACTAAGCGTAAGCTTGCTTGCATTGATTGAGCTTTCCGGGTTTCTGATCTTGGTACCGCGTTTACAATGGAGATCAAAAGTCCACATGTCCGGTCTTAGGATCTCAACAGTGATGTTGTGAACTGGTGATCGCTTTGACACTGGCCGTAGCTAAGGGTAGTGGAATACTGCTCTCAACCTACGATTGCCTAATGCAGCCAGCCTGTTCCCGGATTCGCCTTGTCAGGATCTGCAGGCTGCGAATGGGCGGCTTGTCGGAAACCGGACATCTGAAAGCCTACTGTAGCCGACAAACACGAAACCACGATCCGCACAAGACGCTCGGGGAGACCTAACTATTTCGGGCTGCAGAGGGCCCACGCCCAAACCTCTGTGGCAGGATGGGAAGATTCAGATAGCTCTGTTGCGGGTCCGTTGCGGTTTCTGGGCCTAGGTTCAGGGTTTAAGGCCAACGACTTCGCGAGAGGCGCCACTTCTGACGGTGACTGTTTGTCCTAGGACGGCCTGGATCAGAACGACATATGGTCCGTTGGATGTAGCAGCCTCCCACACCTTAAACTCTGAATGCTCGAAATGGCCTTCTGATGGGCTCTGTTAGCCTTGGCCTGCCTTGCACAAGTACTCGGAAATCCTGACTCCCGGCGATCTTTGCTGCAAGCATCTGCAATCTGATCCTTCGCAGTATCCGGCGGAAGGCTGGAATCAGAGAGCAGTCGACTTCTGCTTCAATCTTTGAGACACGGAGCAGAAAAAAGGCCTTGAGAACGCTCCGAGCCAGCTCTCGGAAGCTGAAGTAACCGACAGCCGAGCTTCTTTGAGCCCTCTCTGCCCCAAACCCCGAAGAGCAAACATCCGGCGCACCCGAAGACCCGAAGACCCTAAACCCCGAAAGCCCCGAAAGCTGAAATCAGTCTCGCGCCCGCATGGTGTCAAGGACCGCCGAAGCCCGTGAGCGGCTACTTCGACAGACCTCCCAAGGCCGGGTTTTTCTACAAGCGAAGTGAGCTGTGCTTCCCGTCTTTGGTGGGTTGGAAGGGCCCAGGGCCTTTAGAGTTGACCTTTGAGAGTTTTGGGGTGCGGGATTCTTGGCGTTCGGGAATCGGGAGCTCAGCACCCCAACCTCCAAGCTTCCAAGGGCTCTCTGCGCATCTTCGGGAATCTTGGGTTCAGGATGCATGCTAGGGCTCTGCTGTGGGATCGTGTCGTGTCTATCTCTTCTGTAAGGAAAATGGTCAAGCATCCAAGAGCTCCGAGATCGATAAGTCTTTTTTTGGGCATGTCTTGACCGCAATCGATTCCCAACAACCCTAAAGCCTTCACCGGGGCAAGGCGGCAATGCGAAAGGAAGGCGCTCACACAATGGCCCTAACCCTTCTTGAAGCCCTGTCTTCGCTCCAAGATATGGGAGTTTCCAATAATACAGGGTACCCCATTTTGGGGTCCTTATAATAAGGATTGCAAGGATCCTAATATTTAGGGTACCATACTAGGGTCCCCTACTGTCGAAAAACCCCCAAATTCGGCCCTACAAACCCTAAACCGATACTAGGGTCCCCTATTCTCGGAAGCCCCCCATGGCAGAACCCTCCGAGCGCAGGACCCAGCGAGGCCTCCCAAACCATGGCTCGTGCCCATTTCTCAGCCTTGGACCAGGGTTTAGGGTTTTAGGGTTTAGGGTTTTAGGGTTTAGGGTTTAGTATTTAGGGTTTTAGGTTTAGGGTTTAGGATTTTA